GGGGGGGGGGTAGGCCTGTTTAAATAACCAAGTTTTTAACTGGCTTTTGAAAACACCCAGCGAGGGTGCCAGCCGGATTTCAGTAGGGAATGTGTTCCACAGCCAAGGGGCGACTGCCGAGAAGGCCCGGTTTCTAGTTTTCTCCTTCCAGGCCTCTCTCAGCGTCAGGCCCCTCAGCCGTCCCTGCTGGCTACGTCAGGTGATTCAGGTAGATCTGGGCGGGAGGAGGCTATCTGCCAAATATTGAGGTCCCAAACCGTTTAGGGCTTTATATGTAATCATTAATGCTTTGAAGTTGATGTAGAAACGAATAGGTAACCAGTGCAGTGCAGCCAGAGTTGGGGATATGTGCTGATATTTTCTCACCCCACTAAGAAGCCTGGCTGCTGCATTCTGGACCATCTGAAGTTTCCACAACAGCCTCAAGGGCAGCCCCACGTAGAGTGCATTACAATGGTCTAATCTCGAGATTATGAGCACATGGACTAGAGTAGTGAGGGCTAGAGTAGTGATATGCCCAATGCCCTATACAGACTAGGTATTTCAAGGGCCCAATGGAAAAATAACAGGTAACACATGCATAATCTGCCAATGCATACTCCCAATAATCTCAGTGATACACATTTCTGCATTCCCCTAGTTGTCCGCGTTGTGTTGAACCCATCTCCCAAGTTGTGCTTTGCTATCTGGTTGGGAAGTCTATCACCGGTAGAATTTGAATTCAACCGTTGAAGCAGGCACCCTGGAAAAAATCAATTTTTGAACCACACTCTCCCAAAATCCCACCACTACCTTGGGCATGTAGCAAGGGCAGGTGACGGATTCTGGGAGTCACAGCCTCAAAAAAGAACTTCCCAGGCTCTGCTTGGGGATCTCTAGCTTTTTGTTTTCCTTCTCTTGCAAGACGAAAGCCAAAGATCTGCCTTGCTGTCTCTTAAGCATGGCTCATGAGCTTTATCCACCAAGTGTCTGGCCAGATCTAGCTGCTGGTAGCATTCCCAGTGCCATACTATGGAATTTCTATTTTGAATGTTAAGGTCTGACTTTAGTTACTACCCGAAAGGTTGGATTTGAAGGCCAAATTGTATTTTGGAGACCGAAACTGTCATCGGGTGGATTCGTCACTCAATGAAATCAAAAAGCCAAGGTGACATTTGCTAGAAGCCCTTCTGCAACCTTCGAGAATACCTTCTGCAACCCCTTCCTGGTTAGCAAAGAGGATTCCCGGTATCCCTGATCAGGCATCAGAAGCAACACGGACTCTCCTTCAGAGCCAGAGCAATCAAGAGCTCCAGATGAATGAGCTACGAGAACTTTATTCCTCACATAAAGAGGGGAGGCAAAAACAAGGCATGCTCACCTCCAATGAACTAAAAGACTACCCCAGATTGCTCTTGGGCATCGTCAATATATACCAGAAATTAGGTGCACCACAAAATCCCAAGCACACTAACAAAAAAGAAGTCCAAAAAAAAATACGACATATTATAGACAACTGTGGAGAAAGGGGTATGTTTGTTGTTTACCTACTTTTCAGGGGAAGTAGGAAGTCTTCAGGAAATCCTCAGGAAACTGTGATAATACAATACCACCGATAACAGGTTCAGGGGGGGAAAAGATGAGGAACAACACCAGACATACATACATAGGGAGAAAAAAAACACGTACAAGAAAAGAAAACAAATTAATACAATGGACGTGAAAACAATGAGGAAGCAAATCTCAATAGAAAAGAAAATTAAACTTAGTCAATAAATAAATAAACAATGGAATAACAGAAGTTCCCAGAGAGCTTCTCAACAGGATGAAAGCAGAATGCATTCTTTGACGTAATAAAAAAAAATAAGCATGTCGGATGGTGCGGTTGTATCCACAGAAAGGAAATGAGAGGATACAAGGGAGCCCGTACCTGTACATGGGAACGGTGACCGTTCGCTCATAGTAATTCCAGGTGGAATGTAAATCAGTGCGGGTGAGGTTAGTGGCGTAAAATCTCCATGCAGCCTGTAAGGGGAGAAATGAGAGGTGGCTATGAAATTTTTGAGAAAAAAAAAGGAAATTTAACAAGCTCTAGTGACTGGGGAAAGGGGAATCCTCATGACTGAATTCTCAGGTACATACAGTCAAGGATTCAAGAGTCAGTTGAAGAGAATGTGTTCATTTATTTATTGAAAGGTAGTCATATAGCGGAGGAGCAGGATCCATTCTCAACCATGGGGTCAAGCGACAGGTAGCCAGATTTAGACTGAACATCAGGAAAAACTTCCTAACTGTTAGAGCAGTACGACAGTGGAACCAACGACCTCAGGAGGTGGTGAGGGCTTCCAACGCTGGAGGCATTCGAGAGAAAATTGGACAACCTTCTGTCAGATCTGCTTTGATTTGGAGTCCTGCATTGAGAAAAGGGTTGGACTCAATGGCCTTATAGGCCCCTTCCAACTCCATTATTCTATCATTCTACAATTCTCCTGCAGGAGCCAAGGTGTTAGTTATCTTAAATGTAACTGGCAAGAGGGATGGAGTGATCAATAGCCCTTCAGCTTCAGTTTTCCTAATTCCAGATACGTTTGGACGAGATGGAGAAGCCCAAAGGAAGAGATTTCTTTTGATCTTCTGACAAGGGGGCTTGCAAACCAAGGATGGGTGGCCTTCATCCAGCATTCTGGAGTGAGAAACTGCCCCAGTCCACAAGCTGCCAAGGGCTGTCACACATTACATATGCAGATTTTCTACACAAAATCAGGTGGACACAAAACCTACAGAAGGTCCCAGGTTGGGTCCTCAGTGATCTCCACGTAACATCTGGAAAGGCCTGAGTACCAATCAGTACAAGAAATTCTGAGCCAAACAGACCAGTACTTAAGATCCAGTATAAGCCACCTTCCCGCATTCTTTTACAGGAGCAACTCCAAAAAACCTGAAGAGACAGACCTTTTTTTGCAGGCTGTTGGTTCCATTCTACCACAACATGATGCATGATGTGATGCCATTTTATTAAGGAATGTCTCAACACTGACATGAGGCACGGTGTGGGGGATGTGCAGAGCAATGACGCTCCGTCACGTGTTGCGTTATGGGAGACATTACAAGGAAAAGGAACAAGAAGACATAGGTTTAGCCAAGTAGAGAAGGAAAAAAATTCATTGCCTCAGACCGTTATGAAAGAAAGAATTATTTTCGTATCTCCCAAGGCTCACTGCAAGAAAAGTGCTCGTAGGATGGAATTTGCAAAATTCTTGAGAATTTGCAAGCAGGGTTTCTCCAGTAAAGTGCACACAAACCAGTGTGTGTGCACTTTTAAGTCCAAGGAGCTAAAATGAACAGTTGAAAATAAAACACAAACACACACACACTATTTACTCCACCCTTTTCCATGATACATATTATGGTGTCCCAATAAAGGTATTATCCATCTTTACTTTTTGAAGAGAGTTGACTCTTTGTCATTGTTATTGTTGTTCTACTTAAACACAGCCACAAAACAACAGGAAAAGTAGCAGACAAAGGTTCGGGTACTTAATCCTTTTGGGGGGGGGCTACTTATCCACAGGAGATTGCCCTCCCCAAGCTTTTTCTCTGCCTAAAAAGTAGCATTTCCTCTGCAGCAAAGATGCTTGGAAAGGAAAGTAAATGATTAAGCAACATTTTCCCCATCAGCCCATTCTCATTCTCATTCTCTCTCTCTCTCTCTCTCTCTCTCTCTCCACTGCTCTGATCAAGGTAGATACCCTTCCAGCTTCTCTTGCGCTCAATGTCGCATTGAGCTTGGCTTGAGATACTCAACGTAGTTCCAGATTCTTCTCTCCCACGCTCTCAAGGGCCTTGCTATTGAACGTGACACACATTTCCTGGCTGATTTATGCAGTAATCTTTTGTTTTCCCCTCCCCTCCCCTCAATGCCAAGATTAGCACAAAAAATGTGACGTGAAGATTTTAAAAGGATACAGATTTATCCATCTGTTCCTGCCCCCACCCCACCCCCAAAAAACTCCAAACTCTGTTGCCACTTCAAGCTACAAAAGCCAAGGTGGACGTAGGAGGGTTCCGGTTGTCAATAGGTTGGCCCTTTAGATGTAATGAGCTACTCTGCTTGTTCTTTTTCCATCCCTACCGAACACAAGTTGGCAGAGTTTTCTTCCTCCCTATAGAGCCGGGTCCCCAACCTTGGGTCCCCACAAGTTCTTGCATCAAAACACCCAGAATCCTTCACCACTCGCTGTCCTGGCCAGAATTTCTGGGAGCTGCAATCTAAGAACACCTGAGTTACTCCAAGTTGGGAACCACTGTGTAGAGGATCATAACTTGCTCCAGAGTTTCACATTCCGGTGATCCTTTATATCCCTGTTTCAGCAGAACAGATTTTTAAATGTGCCCATTCTCCAGCACCCAGGAATTTCTGCCATGTCATCTTTCCTTCACTCCATTGCTACTCCTGAATGCGGTTCTTCTTGCCTAAACATTGCTCTTCAAACTTCATCCCTCTGATTCCCTTATTCTAACAGTACTCACATAATATGTGCCATGACATTGGCTCCAATTCATGGTTACCTTTTCCAGAGTCTCCAGATATAGATTGATCAGACATCCTTTACCATTCCCTCCTTGTGGGGTGCTCTGGAACCAGGTAGTCTGGAGAAACTCTTGCTTAAAGGTTGTAGCTGTGTTCTGTTCCAGTGGTGTGCATACGTTCCTGGCAGGAAGCGGCCGCTGCCAGCAGGCGGTTGTTGTTTAGTCGTTAAGTCGTGTCCAACTCTTCGTGACCCCGTGGACCAGAGCATGCCAAGCCCTCCTGTCTTCCACTGCCTCCCGGAGTTGGGTCAAATTCATGTTGGTCGCTTCGATGACGCTGTCCAACCATCTCATCCTCTGTCGTCCCCTTCTTGTCTTGCCCTCACACTTTCCTAACATCAGGGTCTTTTCCAGGGAGTCTTTTCTTCTCATGAGATGGCCAGAGTATTAGAGCCTCAGCTTCAGGATCTGTCCCTCCAATGAGCACTCAGGGTTGATTTCCTTCAAAATGGATAGGTTTGTTCTCCTTGCAGTCCAGGGGACTCTCAAGAGTCTCCTTCAGCTCCACAATTCAAAAGAATCAATTATTCTAACAACCTACCCTATTCTGCCCTTTTGTTTAGAGATAGAGCATAAGATCATGGAGCTATTTCAGCCAGTCCTGGTTACAATTAGGTAACTAGTATCCTATCTGAATTCTAACAACCTACTATGTAATCCCCCTTCATGGATTGCTGCCTTGTCGTGGTGCCCCTTATTCTGCCCTTTTGTTTAGAGGTACAGCATAAGATCATAGAGCTATTTCAGCCAGTCCTGGCTACAATTAGGTAACTAGTATCCTATCTGAATTCTAACAACCTACTATGTAATCATGCTAAGTAAATAAAAGAGCTCTCAGGGTGTTGCTTGTAGGCTCCGCTGGCTCGGATGTCCGTTGTCGACTCCTTTGTCCTTTCTCTAAGGCAATTAGCCTTCCTTTGTTCTAGGGCCTGGCGTGCAATGGTCCATAGGGTCATGAAGAGTCGGGCACGACTAAACGACAACTATGTAATCATGCTAAGTAAATAAAAGAGCTCTCAGGGTGTTGCTTGTAGGCTCCGCTGGCTCGGATGTCCGTTGTCGACTCCTTTGTCCTTTCTCTAAGGCAATTAGCCTTCCTTTGTTCTGTGATCACCTGCGCTGGATCTTTTGCTACAAGGCACCAAAGAGAATCAAACTACTAGCCTTTTGTTCTGCAGCCAGAGACCCAGCTCCGTGAGCTGTCCAACCAGCCAGTACTAGGATGCTATGCTGTGGATAAAAGACTCAGACTGAACATATGTTTATTTTAATTAAGAATGATTGTAAGAGAGGCGCACAATAGTGCTGTATCCTGGCAGTCAGTTCTTGGGAGATCCTGAAACTACCCTTCTATATATTACAGCTTGTCCTAATCTAACACAGTTGGTGTGGGGTTCAAACAAGAGAACCCCATTTGTATCATCCTCCTCTTTGAGAAACAGCAACCATAATCCTGCACTATAGACTGCAAATCCGGTCATTTCCTGGCACAGTATTTGGGTATTTGTTGATGCAGAGTATAAATAGAATTTGGATCTCCACCGTCCAAGCCCATTTTTTTTAAACTTTGTAAATCCTGGAGTTCTAAACACAGTCAGATAGCTCATCAGGAGGAATTATTTGCTGGCATGCGCTCCCTCCCAGGAAAACAAATGGCACTCTGGATTCTGGCTTGGTGTCCAGTGGGAATTGATCCTCCCAGAAGGTGCGTCTCTCCTTGCCTCTGCTGGGTCCCTGAAGCATAACTCTGCCAAACAGAGAGGTGGGGGAACCACCACCGAGCACTATTTTTAACCTCAGGAGGAAGACGGAGACACAGATACAGGAAATCAGCACTATATTTGTCTTTTTTACTAAGCCTTTCATAACACTTGATGTTCCGACGCTATGAAGAAATATTTTTCTCTCTCCCCCTTTTTTTGGTATTGTTTTGTTTTTATTTGGATTTGACCTGACATGCTATTAGGAAATGTATGTATCCACTTCATGGAGATAAGATACCTCCTGAAAACTAAGGCAGTGCCTTATGTGCAGATTTCCACTGATCTTTTGCCTTTGAAAATGCGGACATTTTGCAAAACTCTAATGCAAACCCTCCCGGATGACGGGTGGTGGATCAGTAAATTTGGAAGTACAGCTGCTTATCAGAGAAACCCCATCCCTTCATCAAAAGAAGTGTTTGGAAAAATTAAAAGCTTTTGCTTGTTCCATTCCAAACCTCCCCTAACCTCAACTATTTTGCAACAATATTTTTCTCCCAGTCATGGTGAGGACTACAGCTAAGCTCAGAGGGAATGGGGAAGCCTGACTGCGGTGGCAAATTATGTTAGAGTCTCTAGTATTCATTAAATTTAGAGACTTCTACCCTATAACCCTTAGCTCCATTACACTGGTGCCAGCACACACTCACACCCCCAGAAAGCCATCCCTGGGACCTTGTTTTGCTACAAAGTCTGCCAAGCAATACCCACAAGCAATACCCAACCAGAAGTTGTAGCAAGGCTGGCCCGGAGGAAGCCTGAAGACCAAGCCCATCCAGGATAGTGCAGAGAATAAGCATTGGTGTAGGTATCCATTTTGAAGGGAAGGCACTCATCATGGCAGGTTCCGGAACCACATTCTCAAAGAGAATCCCCAAAGTTAGGAAGCCATGTTTACCTGTATTGGTTTACACCTGTTTATATGTGTAGATGAGAGATGAACATGATCCACTCATCTTGGATTGCACACCTGCCCTTCTCTGCCTCCTTCGGCAGCTGACCACTCTGACAAGGAAGACAGATAAGGTTTCTCCCCGTGCAGCTAATGAGTGGTCAGCTGCCGGAGGGGGCAGGGAAGGGCAAGCTGAGCTCCTGGCCAGACTGGAGCATCACCAAAAAGAGGAGGATGCTGGCAACATGTGACACACAATTAGTGGACTGGCCAGCCAGGGGGGGAGGGAGGGATCCACGGGCACCTGTGGCATGATGACCAGAGTCCTGCCCACCTCTTGTGTCAATGTTTTTAGTAAGCTGTCTCACTCACTTGCTTGCTCTCTCCCTCATGTGCATGCACACATGTGTGCACATGCGCATGCACACACACAGATGCAGAAGTATCTGGGAAGTAACAAATACTTGCATTTTTCTTCTCATTTTCAGTTAAAAGCAATGTCTTGGCTCACTAAGACATCCATTTGGGGGGAAAAACTGTCCCCCCAGACTTTGACTCCTTCATGGGATCAAACAGACCAGCCCCTTTTCATCAACAACAGCATGAGCATACAAAATCTCTTATCTTCTGCTTTTAAAGTTTGTGTTCGGGGCAGGTTCTATACAAAATACTGCACAAACGAAAGTGCATCAAAATGTTCGTCAATCTCACCCAGCAGTGAGGAAATTCTGAAATGTTTTCTTATCCACCAAAAAGAGGAGAATGCTGGCAACATGTGACACCTGATGAGTGGGCTGGCCGGCCGGGGGGGGGAAGGGAGGGATCCACGGGGCACCTGTGGCATGATGACCAGAGTCCTGCCCACCTCTTGTGTGAATGTTTTTAGTAAGCTGTCTCACTCACTCGCTTGCTCTCTCCCTCATGTGCATGCACACATGTGCGCACATGCTCATGCACACACACAGATGCAGAAGTATCTGGGAAGTAAAAAATACTTGCATTTTTCTTCTCATCTTCAGTTAAAAGCAATGTCTTGGCTCACTAAGACATCCATTTGGGGGAAAAAACTGTCCCCTCAGACTTTGACTCCTTCATGGGAGCAAACAGACCAGCCCTTTTTCATCAACAACAGCATGAGCATACAAAATCTTTCATCTTCTGCTTTTAAAGTTTGTGTTCGGGGCAGGTTGTATACAAAATACAGCACAAACGAAAGTGCACCAAAATGTTCGTCAATCTCACCCAGCAGTGAGGAAATTCTGAAATGTTTTCTTATCCCTTGCAAGAAGAAAATAAGCAAACGCTGTGAAAGCAGTGAAGTGACAGTCGCAGAATCGTGAGGGTCACCGCTATGTTCAGAGAGGGGAAGAAAGTGTGAAGGGGGTTGCCAAAGAGGTGTTTGCTGGCTGAGGCTTTTGGGCAGATGTAGTCCAAAAGAGAAATCTTCCCCATATCTGGAGATGGCAAGTAACAGGATTCCAGCAAATCTGGACATCCCAAAACTTCTGCCTTGCAAACCCTAGCACCTCTGTAATTCAGGGCATAAGAAATACGTATTTTCTCATCCTTGATAGAAAAAGGTGTCCCAGCACCTCATGACAGACTGCATCAAAATTAGCAACTGATGTGAGATTTTTGTCTCCCATACCTGCAGGGGAGAGAAAAACATGCTGGGGTTTTTTTTCCACCCGAACATTTTCTGCACAAAACACAAGTTTCTGTACAACCAATGCAGTTTTTTGCACACACAAAATTCTTCCACTAAGTTTGCTTGGTTGCTTTCCCTGCAAGAGCAAAGCAAGCAAAGATCTACCACCATAACTGAACCACCCAAAAGGAGAGGAGCACCCAACCAGGTCTGTGCAAAGGTCTACCAGGCCCAGCGACCTCTTTTCAACAAGAGCAAACCACGTCCATCCAGGAAATCCAGAATAGGAAGATAGCCATCTGGCCCACACAGAACAAACCCTGCACCAGCTCATGTTCAGTGGCAAACCTCCTCAGATCATGAAGATTCCATATAGCTAAATGGCAATGACATTCTCTTCCACGTCCCTGTTCTAAAATCCCGAGAACCAGAAGCCAGAAAGGAACGCAGGAAGGAAGTGAGAAAAAGTCAAGGTTATCTGTCAGCCAGGAAATCAAAGCCCTGGGATCTTTTAGATACATACCAAGTTGGATGAAAACCAATACAGTGGTGCCTCGCTAGACGATTGCCTCGCGGGATGATTAATCTGCTAGACGATGAGTTTTTGCAATCGCTGTTGCGCTTCGCAAAATGGTTTCCTATGGACGATTTTCGCTAGATGACGATTTTCCCCATTGGAACGCATTGAATAGATTTCAGTGCATTCCAATGGGGAACCGCACTTCAGAAAACGATGGTTTCCTTTGGACGCTTTTCGCTAGATGACAATTTTTCCCCATTGGAATGCATTAAATACTGTATATGTCTATGCATTCCAATGGGGAACTGCGTTTCACAAAACGATGTTTTCGCAAGACAGCGATTTTCACAGAACGAATTAACATTGTTTAGCGAGGCACCACTGTACCTGAATAATTTTTGTTGGGAGACTACTGGAACCCTGGGAGCTGTCTTAGTGGTGGTTCTGAGCAGCGCCTGTATAAATTAAGTTCCATGTACTGCAACACAGACAATGCCAAAGGCATCATGGCCACTGTGACCGAGATTTGGAGAAGTGTGGTCCCAACCAGAAATGTTTCTCAGCTGTGGCACTTAAAACACATCAAGTGGTTCCTGTGATATTTACAAGGGGAAATGGGAAGGAACGTAAAAAGCAGCATGAAAATAAGACTTTGTTTTTAAGAACCAACAGGGAAGTTCAAGAAGGTTCTGAAAGAAAATTTATGAACACACAAATTTTCCAAGACGTTTGAACACATGCAAACAGCAGAACATTATTTCACTATCAAGAAGCACTTCCCAGACATATGGCTTCATGCGCAACAGGGACGAGCACTACATGACCCTCAAAATAGTGTTGCACTGCAAGCCCCATCATTCCTCACCACTGCTGATGCTGAGCAGTCCAGCAACATCTGGAGGACGGCCCGGTTCCTCATCCTCAGCACAAGGCACCAAGCTTTTGACAGCAGACGTGTTCCACTGTTCTGTGGAAGCCCACTCAGCGATTCGGTTGCATGAATCAATGCTCCTTCACCACTTGATTCGGGCTGATCCCTTTCTACTGCAGATCCCGCAGCACCGAGCATCCATGGGTCCTGCTTGCTCACCTGAATCAGACCAGCTGCAGGGTTCCTCCTCTTCTCAAAATGCTTTTGACGGTGCTGCTCTTGAACCTTCAGGGCAAACCCAGAACCTAGAATACCCTGGAACAAAAAGGGACATTATTTCCATTTAATCCCTTGCATTGACACTCTGTCTCTGTTTCCTGTCACTTAATCCAGATGAAAAAGAAGCAGCTTCCTTTTTGGAATGATAAAGAGAAGACAAAGTGCTACATTCCTCCAAATGTTTAGAAGGCAAGTGAAAACTGATGAAAAGGCTGCAGCTTAACCAGGAGCATTAAGATTTATTTGCAGATACCCAGGACTGCCAGAAAGATGAACAAGCGGGTCCTAGAGCAAATCAAGCCTGAACTATCTATGGAGGCAAAATCAACAAAAAGGAGGCTGTCTGACTTTGGACACATCCTGAGAAGGCAAGATTCTTTGGAAAAGACAATCCTACAGAGAAAGGTGGAAGGCAGCAGGAAAAGAGGAAGGCCATAATGGGATGGACTGGTTCTCTAAAGGAAGCCACAGGCTTGAGTTTGCAAGACCTGACCAGGGCAGTTGAGGACACAACATTCTGGAGATGGCTCCTTCATAGGGTCACCATGAGCTGCAGGCAACTTGATATCACACAACAGCAACCACGGATTTATCTCAATTTAATCCTGCAAGCACATCCTCTAGAAAAGTGACCTGAGCTCCAAATTCATGACAACCCACTGAGCTGAAGGTGGAAGTAATTAACACAGAGGTGTGCCATGCGGGACCACGGACATTTCAGACAATATTTCTGAGACCCTACCTGGCCGTGTACACACAGCCAACACGAAAGGACACCTTCAGCATCCAAGAGGAGATTGACTTCCCTAGATGGGGTTTATTTTTCATCATAAAATCCCCAAATCTTGCCCTATATAAATAGGTCGGCACACTTCTAAGATCACGCACACGGATGGCCCAGCCTATTGTCTGGCACCGGGAGGTAGGCCAGTGAGCAAATCCAAGTCAGACTTTAGATGAACCATTCCATCTGGCCCTAACTATGGACAATTCAAAAGAACAATTATTTCTGAATCCAAAGGCCAGGAGAGGCTGATCTCACTATAAAACAGCTAAAAAATCCCAAGCAAATGCTAGCTTTTGGGCCACATGGAGCCTCATTGGTCAACACTTCTCTACAGACAGTGCAGTGAAAATTCAAGAGTTCCAAAAATCATGGCTCCCTCATCGGTCAACACTTCTCTACAGACGGCGCAGTGAAAATCCAAGAGTTCCAAAAATCATGGCTAGCTGCCCGTTTCAAAACGAGGGCTGTAAAGTAAATCCAGAAGTGTTAATTTTCACTTCCACATCTGGTGGTGTTGATTGAATTGTCCCAAACGCCTCAGTTTTTAAATTACAGTATTTATTAGTGGTCTAATAGAGGTTTCACACACACCCCTTCCTTGCCTTTGAATTCGGTACCAAGGCCACACGGCTTTTTTAAACATTTGTTCATCATTTCTTAACGCACTTCAGGTCTATTAAACCACATGTGGGACGTACTGTGATATACGAATATTATTCTTCTCAGGCACCATAATTAATGCAGGTGCAAAAACACAGCCAGGATTGTTTGAAGGACCATTTAATTGTCCCCCAAACTTGCCTGATCAGAGTTTTCTCTCTCTCTCTCACTCTCTCTCTCTCTCTCTTCTTCTTCTTCTTCTTCTACGACCAAAGAAAGAACACCCACAGTTGGGAATAATGTGCACCGTGCATTTTAGGTAATTGTTACTCATTACTTTTTAATTTAATTAACTTACTTCAATGTAATGCTTGGTGATTCATTAGCAAGGCTCATTACTCATTGTTAAGAAAATGACAGGCCACTAATGCATCACCAATGTGTTGCTTTGGAACTTTTTTAACAAATACATGCTAAAAACAGCCAAAATCTTTCCCCTCCAAAGTAGTACTTTAGGGGCACCAAGTAAATGTCACCCCTCATATGAAAAACATAAAAATTTAACAATCATTGGCTATTGCTTAGCATAGTAAATCATAGTAGAATAGACCCAATGCGTCAGTGCACATTTAGTAGGTTCGTTAATTCCAGTGGGCCTACTCTTGCGGCAACTTACTTTAGTGAAATAAGTTGCAATGAGAATAGGTGCATTTGAATCTATGGAATTTATGGAGCAGTTGACCCACCAAATCCCCACAGATTCGGTGGGCCTATTTAGTGGGACTCAGTGTGGTAAGGAACAGGATTCCAGCCATTGTGTTGGTGTTTAGATGTAAAAACAGGGCACTGTGGCACACACGTTGTGTACCACTGCTCTTGGACACACATTTTCAGAAAGGTAGCCATTTCAGTCAGTTTCAACATGGGGGGGGGGGAAGGAAACCAAAACAGTACTCCAAAAATGATTTGTTTCTCTTGCTCCTCTTTGGTTTATTTCAAATAAAACTTAGGATTGAAAAATACCCACTTACAGCGGGGAGAGCGAAAAAGGAAACACCGATCAAGGTGAATGTTGCCGCAAGAAGGCGTCCATTCCATGTCTTCGGACACTTGTCCCCATAGCCGATGGTGGTCAAAGTAATCTGAGGGGGAAAAAACAAATTTACATCATGAATTACCTATTAGGATCATGTTGGCTCAATGCCGGAGGCATTTAAACAACATACGCGTAAATATGGAACTTCACTTCTGAATGTGTTCTGTGAGGATCTGTCCGAAACCACCAAACTTTAAATCTTTATCATTAAAAAGAGAGAGAGAGAAAAATCATATTAAATATTTTACTTGTCTTGTTCTATACCTTCTAACGTTAAGCATGTTATACGTGGGAAAATCATAATGAACCGGAAAACAAAAACTCAGAATCAGATTTTGAAAACACAGGCCTCAGCTTCTGCAAGATGCCTTGAATTGGGTAAAAGGCGCCATATTGCATGTATTTATCACTGCTTATTAAAAAGGAACATAGTAGATAATGGCCACAGTGCAATCCAAAAACTGCATGTTAAGACTTCTTTTTCAGTAGACAATCATTTGGGATGCACTGTAGACTTTTTAAGGTAGTGCCATTCAAAGATGTTTCTCTCTCTCTCTCTCTCTCTCTCTCTCACACACACACACACACACACACACACACATTCCGAAATGCCTTCATTAGCTATCAGTCTCATGTAGCCCCACTGGAGTAGAAAAGAATGCAAACACACACACACACACACACACACACACACTTACAATTTGAAATAACAAAAGCCTAGAAGAACCTCTACCATGTGTCTGATCCAGAACCCTTGAAGAAAGGGCTAAGAAAGCCAATATAAAGGTGAAAACACTCATTCAGAGAAATCCAGTTCTAGAAGGAGTGGTCATTCAAATGGGGGAAAAGGTACAATTGTGAAAACATGCTGAAAGGAAAAACACAAGTGTCACTGAAATATAAAAAGGGTTTCTTTTGTATGTACAGTTCCATAGCCATGGATTACAAAGCAGATCGTATTCATGGGCAAAAAATATATATATGTAAACACACAAAAGACATATTTGACTAAGGATCTTAGGTCCTTTGCATGGTAATTTGCAAGCCAGATCTCCTCCTTTTCCAAGCTTGCTTTGCTACAAAATACTCTGTTTTGGGGGGCAACCACTTTTTGAAAGATGCCATGCTTACTCAGCTATCTTACAGGGTCCAAGCATCCACCCAAGGCAAACGCTTCTTCTTTCAACACAGGCACATTTTCCTAGCCTTCAAATGTAGTAGCATCTCTTGTCCCTCCATGGAACATATGAATGGCACAAATGAATGCTGTACAGAATGTAGCAGAAATGGGATACGTGACATTAAATTTTAGCCTACGACTTCCAGGACGCCCCAGCTAGCATGGTCAGCAGGGCATCTGAGGAGATGTAATTAAAAAGATGTGATGTTTTCTATTTCTTCTATACAATCGTCGTCTAGTCGTTTAGTTGTGTCCGACTCTTTGTGACCCCATGGACCAGAGCACGCCAGGCCCTCCTGTCTTCCACTGCCTCCCGCAGTTGGGTCAAATTCATGTTGGTCGCTTCGATGACCCTGTCCAGCCATCTCATCCTCTGTTGTCCCCTTCTCTCCTCTTGCCTTCACACTTTCCCAGCATTAAGGTCTTTTTCAGGGAGTCTTCTCTTCTCTACAATACATACATATAATTAGTAATTCCTGGATGGTGGACATTGTTTCCTTGAAAACAGGAAATAGTAATCTCTCCCCACAAATTTTATGACATTTTTTTCCTATTTTAAACTTTGTTAAGGTACAAGCAGTTTTCATGATGCTCAATACAGTACAGGTGATATAAACCTTTCCTAAAAATTGAGGGCAATTGAAAAGTGACCATTTTTAAATAGTGACCCTATAAGTGAAAGAAATCATTTTGCTTTTTATCCAGCTCTGCAAACTAGCCTCCCTCCATTCAGTACTGGTTAGGTGCCAAGAACCATGTCCAGTTCTGGGTACCAAACTTTCAAAAGGATTCAGACAAGCTGCTAACAAGCAGCTTCTTGGAAGCAGTTTCTTGGAAGAAACCCAAGCTGGAATTAAGATTGGAAGTTCATAAGAGGGCAACAGGGGATAGGAAATCAAGTCCTAGGAGGAAAGACTGAAAGAACCGGGCACGTTTTAGCCTTTTGAAAAGAAGACGGAGGAGTGATATGGTGGCACTTTTCAAATACTTGAAAGACTGTTGTACAGAGGAGAGGCAAGACCTGTTCTGGATCATCCCAGAGTGCAAGACACGTAACAATGGGCTCAAGTTGAAGGAGGCTAGCTTTTGGTTGAATATCGGGAAAAACTTCCTGACTGTTAGAGCAGTACAACAATGGAACAAAAATGAACCAAACTACAGACCAGGAAAAAAAACCAAAAACATGGTTCAGTTTATGACCCAGTTCAGGGAGCTTATTTTGCCAAAATGAAATGAAGGGCCAATTTTTTTTTCAGCTAGGGGGCAGGTCGTGTGCAAAAGCAGTGGCCCCAGGTCCCATGCAAGGAGTCAGGCGGCTTGCTGCCTCTTAGGATGGAGGTGGCAGTGGCAGGAAGACCAGGCAGGGAGACAACAGGGGCAGTGGGAAGAGGGCAGGAGCAGGTAGGTCCCCCTCCCCAGCAATGAACGAGAAAAACAAACTGCAAAGCAGTTCGTTTTTTAAGGGATTCACAGTGGTTCGTGGTAAAAGACGAAGAGCACCGAGTCAACACATTTTGCAGTTCATGCCCATCTCTAGTGGCAAGTGCTCCACAACTGGAGGTGTTCAAGAGAAATTTAGACAACTATCTGTCAGATCTGCTTTGATTTGGAGTCCTGCCTTGAGCAGGAGATTGGACTCGATGGTTCTCATAGGTCCCTTCCAACTCCATGATTCTGTGATTCTAAGAAATTTCCCCCCTGCAATTCACTGAACTTTGAAATCTTTTGAGGACAGATTAGTTTCCCCACCCTCTACCCTAATTCTGTCAACATCACAGACCCACCAGTTAATTTTCCCTTCCAAACAGAGGAGCTGCCGGGATCTGACTTGTCATTCCATTTATGATTTCCTCCCTACATTGCAGTAAAAGCTAAAATTGCTTGTCTGAAGGATTGGGGGAGGAGGATCAAAAGAAGAAAAAGTAGAAAGGGATAACTAAATTGGTTGGAGAAGCCCAGTAATTGTCACTCTTCTAATCCCATCATCCACACAATGAAAGACAAGAGCTAAACAAAAGAGTCGTCTCTTGTATACAAAGATTTCCTCGTGTCCGGGCGCCGCTTCGACCAAGACTTCATTAATTTTACAAAGCGCACTCATTGCACTTTAAGGAACGCATTAAGAAGTGGCATTATAAATAATTAAGCGGCAAAACCATGTTCGAGCCAGCGACTGAAGCAAATTTTAAAAAAAAAGAGCAAAGGTCACATCTTGCGCTTTTGTGGTCCCGCATCTGCAGCGCAAGGTCTGGCACGAGATAAAACTGGCATAGCCACAAAATACAATGTTCCAGTTAAAACATCCCCCCCCCACAACGGCCTTCCTTTCCGAGCAGGTAAAGGTAAAGGTTCCCCTTGACATTTACTCCAGTGGGGTCCGACTCTAGGGGGTGGTGCTCATCTCCGTTTCCAAGCCATAGAGCCAGCGTTTGTCCGAAGACAGTTTCCATGGTCACGTGGCCAGCGTGACTAGACACGGAATGCCGTGACCTTCCCACCGAGGTGGTACCTATTTATCTACTTACATTTGCATGCTTTCAAACTGCTAGGTTGGTGGAAGCTGGGACGAGCGACGGGGGCTCACTCCGTCACGTGGATTTGATCTTACGACGGCTGGTCTTCTGACCTTGCAGCACAGAGGCTTTTGCGGTTTAACCCGCAGTGCCACCCATGTCCCTGCTTTCCGGGGAGGCTTTTAATAAATAAATTCTTGCAAACAAAAAGCAAGAACGGCAGGAAGGTCTTTTTCTTAATCTTTCAAAATGCTTTTTAATGTTTGCAGAGAGATTTTGCTTAGTACTTTGGAAGGATTAATATATTTTCTTATTGTTCAGCACTGCTATGTATTATATTCTTGACTATTTAAATATTTGTGTTTTGAAATTCTTTGCAAATTGCCTGCTAGAAAAAATAGGTGTAATTAAAAAACAAATGCTGCTTTATTACCTCGCTTGCTGCCTTCAGTAGGTTTCGCTGGGAGGGACCTTTCTAGGCTGGGATGACTGTCAATCAGCCCAGCAGTAACCAATCATTCCTTCCCTGTCACTGATTTTAAAGAGAGCCACGCCTCTCTGCTGCAGTGTCTTTTCCTCTCCCTTTTCAGCCTGCTAGCAGTTAATACACAGGTATGCAGTTAGTGCTATTAGAATGTAACCTGCAAGCGTCTGCTAGAAGCATGCTGTGTGTTTGTTAAAGCCTGTTGTAATAGGCAGTCATTTTTGTACAGTATGTTGGTTTTTATCTATTCAACTGTGAGTAAATGAAACCTTTTTATTCTTTCACTTAGCAGTGTCTCAGAGTTACCAAGATTGTAAGTGCCAGTTGAGAAAATAAGGAGGTGATCTCCTTTGGGGAGACCTGTAACTAATTCTGCTCTGTAACTCTCTGCACCTCTACTGAGCAGCCAGAGGTTTTTAGACAAAATTCAAAACTCTGCAACATTTTATTGATTAGATTCTGAATCTAAGGATTTCTGAGGCCATGTTATCTTTTAATTGGGGGAGTATTCTTTCAATCCCTAATTTCTACTAAGTAAAGGTTCCCCTTGGCATTTAGTCCAGTCGTGTCCGACTCTAGGGCGCTGTGCTCATCCCCGTCTCCAAGCCATAGAGCCAGCGTTTGTCTGAAGACAGTTTCCGTGGTCACGTGGCTAGCATGACTAAACATGGAACGCCATGACCTTCCCACTGAGGTGGTACCTATTTATCGACTTGCATTTTTCACATGCTTTCGAACAGCTAGGTTGGCAGGAGCTGGGACAAGCGGAGCTCACTCCATCGTGTGGATTCGATCTTACGACGGCTGGTCTTCCGACCTTGCAGCACAGAGGCTCCTGCAGTTTAACCCGTACTGCCACCATGTCCCTAATTTTTACTAGCCATTATCAATTTACTATGAGGGCAAGAAACAGATACCCAATGAATACTCACCAAGCCCCACCACAGCGCATCAGCGTAGGTGTCAAATTCTGTGTTTTCTCCCTTCTCCGCCAAGTACACCAGAAAAGAGGCTAAAATGAGACATAGGAAACCGATGTACCAGGCAGTGATAAGCTCCTGTAATAAAATTAGAAAGGAAGAGAGTAGAACGGAACCCTTCAGTATGTTCACCTGTCAGATCGCCACAGATTTTAAAGCAGAGACAGAATGAGTACGGAATGTTGATCTGAACACAAGAGAAGTTTCAGGAATGGTTACAAGCATCTAAAGAATATTCTGCCCTCCACAGCTAAGAGGAACTGGCAGCTCAATGAGGGCAGTGTGTGCTCCACAACTATAGTACACTGGCTTACAATTTGGGAGTGAATGACCACAGAACAAGTGGGGGGGGTTAGGAAAACAGCTTGCTGGTGGTATGGGCAGGGGCGAGGTGTTTCCAAAAAATCACGTGACGTGTATGAGATTGCCAGCCCCTGATCCATAGTCCAGCAACAGGGTTACAGTAGTGCCTCACTAGACGATGATAATCCATTCCACTGAAATCACTGTCTAGCGAAATCATTGTCTAGCGAAAAGCAAATCGTCGTCTAGCAAAAATTGGTTTGCGAAGCAGGGACCAAACATTGTCCAGCGAAATTCCCCCATAGGGAATCGCTATAGCGATTGCAAAAAGTCAATGTCTGGCAAAAAAACTGTCACACGGGGTAACTGTCTAGCGAGGCACCACTGTACTCTCTTCTGGGGGCAGGCTGGAGCCATTTCTCCACAGACAGAAAGCTGGCTTTAAGCGAGATGGCTCGAAGTGAAGCGAGCCTTTCTGGCGTGATCAGACACGATCCTCCCTGATCATCTGGTCACACTCTTAGATGCTATTAATTCTTCTTTGATTGTTGGAATATGTTACTGTTTTTGTTTCTCAGTGTTGTGTTTTTAATGATGTCAACCACCTTGGGTCCCTTTTCAGGAGCAAAAATAATTGAAAAGAAGACTGAGAGGAGATGGGATAGCACTTTTCAAATACTTGAAAGGATGTCATCCAGAGGAGCAGGATGTGTCCTTGATCATTCCCAGACACGCAACAACAGGCTCAAGTTACAGGAAGCCAGATTTTAGTTGAATATCAGGAAAAACTTTGTAACTGTTAGAGCAGTACGACAATGGAACCAATTCCCAAGAGAGCTGGTGAGCACTCCAGCGCTGGAGGTACTCAAGAAAAATTTGGACAACTGTGGGGAAATTGTATGCTTTTACAATGTATATATCTGTGGCAATAGCAGACATTGTGCTAAGCGCGCAAATCACATATACAGTGTGCTAGCTTTCCTAAAGGATGATTCATTAACCTGCTTTGGTATCTAGGATAATTACCTGTCTTTGGGTAAATTATATTAACTTACTTGCGTAGTTAAGGTGTTATCTGTCTATGTTTACCCTGCTCTGTATTCAGGAATGTTTACGCTACTTGTGTATTTAGGATTTACGTGCCTCTGTTTACCGGCCTCTCTGTTTACCATACTTGTGTATTCAGGATATTACCTGCCTGTGTTTAGAATGGTCACTGGTTAACTAGTGCAAAGGTAGTAGAGAACAATAAAAGGGGGGGGCGGCAACGGATAGGGAGGATTTCCCACTGAACAGCATGCTACACAGCATGCTGTTTTGTTCATCTGTATCCCGCCCTGAAACACACACTCGAGTGCCTGCCTCTTTCTTTCTCCTTGCTGGTCAAGAGGGGGGAAAGGCTTCATCTGCAGATCCCTACAACAAGGCTTCATCTGCAGATCCCGACAGACAACAATCAAGCCTGCTTTGATTTGGAGTCCTGCATTGAGAAGGGGGTTAGACTCAATAGCCTTATGGGCCCCCTCCAACTCCATAATTCTATGATTCTATGAAATGAATAAATAAATTGAAAAGAAGCCATTAATGGCTGACTGGCTGAAGAACATTCCTGAAGAGAGCCATTTCACAATACAGAATTCTTTTTTTCCCCAGGATCTCCTCATATTCATGTAGCTGCATATTTTCCCCCTCTAAGCGATTTTGCACTTTACCCTTCCCAACACACAGCCCCTCCAAAGATCTCCAACAAGGGAGTCCTTGCCAGCCGAATTTTGCAAATACTGATTCGCTTAGCAACATAGAAGCCCTCAGGAGCTGACGGCACAGGTCCTGAATGCTCACCTTGCTATGGGCATACACCACAGACCCCAGAAGCTTCCAAGTGCCTCCCCGGCGGTCCATTCGTATCATCCGCAAGATCTGTAGAAACCGTAAACTCCTGAGTGCTGAGGTGGCAAAGACATTTCCCTGGGAACCGGCCGCCAACACGGCAATGGAGGCTATTAACACCATGATGTCTGTAAACATGGAAAAAATATATGGTTTTAACATAGTTACTTCTGTATACCCACCCACCCTCGACCTCCCCTTGCGGTCTGCTAAATGCTCACTCCATCCTGCATCTCTCATGTTTCCAAATTATTATGATACGTTATGCGAGAACAAAGAAAACGCTGTGGGGTCCCCAAGATTTGTTGTTTAGTCGTTAAGTCATGCCCGACTCTTCGTGACCCCATGGACCAGAGCACGCCAGGCCCTCCTGCCTTCCACTGCCTCCCGGAGTTGGGTCGAATTCATATTGGTCGCTTCGATGACCCTGTCCAGCCACCTCGTCCTCTGTCGTCCCCTTCTCCTCTTGCCTTCACCCTTTCCCAACATCAGGGTCTTTTCCAGGGAGATTTTTCTTCTCATGAGATCCCCAAGATTACATACATCTAAGAGTGGTGATACCTTTTATTGGACCACTATAAACTAAACAGTTTACAAGCTTGGGTGGACAAAAATTCCACTTCTTTGGGCTTAGCACATCTCCTCCATGGACTGTGCAGAAAAATGGAAGACAAAAGTCCAGAAATTAATGGCATATGTCTGTGAGAGGTGATTGTTTGTTTTTTGTTTGTTTGTTTATACCCTGCCATCTAGACCACAGTCTACTCTAGGTGGCTAACAACAATCCATAAAGTAATAACAGTAAAAATAAAACAACAATATTAATATAATTCAAGATATCAAGAAATAGATTAGATGATGACGGGAGGGAAGAGGATATAAGTTCTTATGGTCTAAAGAGCAGAGGATGATGATTCCAACAAGACTACAAAGCTGCTCGGGACAGCAGGACCTGCATCGACTCTCGTGGACATGTGCTGTTAATTTTTCAACTTTTGTTTACAATTTTTCTGCACTATCCATAGAGGAGTTATGCTTCTCCTGAAGAAGCGGAATTTTGTCCACCACAGCTTGCAATTTGTTTAATTATCACCCACTCTTACATTTGTGTTATGTGAGAGACATTTCCAAATTTTTTTACTTGCACCTGCAATTTTCGGGCAAAAGAAATACAGTGGTGCCTCGCATAATGGGTGCTCCGTTTAACAATGAATCCGCATAACAACAATGTTTTTGTGATTGCTTTTGTGATCGCATAACGATGTTTCCTATGGGGGGAAATCGCTTTGCGATGATCGGTAAGCTGTTTCGCTGCCGGCTAAAACAGGGACGGATTCCTCGCTTACCGGGCAGCTCAAATGGCCACTGTATGGAGGATTTTTGATTAAAAGGTAAGTTTTAAGCCCATAGGAACGCATTGAAGGGGTTTCAATGCATTCCTATGGGCTTTTTTATTTCGCATAGCAACGAATCCATATAGCGACGATTTTTGCTGCACGGATTATCGTCACTATGCGGGGCACCACTGTATCCCTTTTCTCATTCTGCCCAGAGGAAGTCCAGGGCAAATGAATCACCAGGAGTGTCACGTTACAGTGGTTAAACTGCAGTCCTGCAGCCAAAACTCTCCTCACAGCCCGGGTTCAATCCCGGCTCAAGGTTCACTCAACCTTCCATTCTTCCATGGTCAGTAAATTAAGTACCTAGTTGCTTGTCGGGGGGGGGCAACGTGTAGCCTTCATTATTAAGTTGTAGACTGCCCAGAGAGTGCTTTAAGCACTATGGGGGTTGTACATAAGCATTATGCTTTGCTTTTTTTGCACTACAGCAGGAATAACCTCTGGCCCTCCAGACATTTTACACTACAACTCCAAACATTCCCTGTTTTACAGTATTCATTCATTCATTCATTCATTCATTCATTCATTCATTCATTCATTCATTCATTCATTCATTCAACTCCCAGCCCATCCTTCATGTTGGGTGTGGCTTAGACAAGCTGTGAACCAAGATATCTGGAAAGCCAAAGACGGTTACGCATTGCACCATCTAAAACATCCACCGTGGTTCTCAAAATATTCCATAGCTGAGCCAAATGAAGCAGTTTGCCAAAGGTTTTGAAATTATAAGACACCGCTGCAAAGTGATAGTTCAAGCATCCGTTTTCTGCCTCTCCATAGGTGGGGTTCACCTTTAGCCCTGACATACACGCAGGCAACCGCTTCATTTTTTAAAATCAAATGGCTCCATTTGGAACTATCCTTCTAGCAACCTAGCTTAAGCTGGGCCCGGTAATGGTACCCACCTTACCAGACAGGACTAATAGATGCAATTCAGCTTTGTTCAGATTTTAATTTCTACAGGGAGAACTCCAAGACTTCAAACCAATCTGCAAACTGAATGCTTGAACTAGGAAGCTTTTCTTAATCCCCACATGCTCAGGAATCTAGAACTGACTTCTAGAACTGGGGAGAAAATCTGGAACTCAGACACAAACATAACTACCCTGTTTCCCTGAAAATAAGGATGCAATTCAGCTTTGTTCAGATTTTAATTTCTACAGGGAGAACTCCAAGACTTCAAACCAATCTGCAAACTGAATGCTTGAACTAGGAAGCTTTTCTTAATCCCCACATGCTCAGGAATCTAGAACTGACTTCTAGAACTGGGGAGAAAATCTGGAACTCAGACACAAACATAACTACCCTGTTTCCCTGAAAATAAGACCTAACCTAGGAAAATCTGGAACTCGGACACAAACCCTGTTTCCCCGAAAATAAGACCTAACCTGAAAATAAAAAAGCCCTAGTATAATTTTTCAGGATGCCCATAATATAAGCAAGTGAAATCCCGCCCTCCACTATTGTGCAGCAACCAGAAGAAGATTGCATGACTGTATTTGAATAAATATAGACTGTTGTACCTGAAAAAAATAAAACATCCCCTGAAAATAAGCCCTAATGCATTTTTGCAGCACACATCAATATAAGACCCTGTCTTATTTTTGGGGAAACACTGACTTATTTATCACTTGGCTACACATGATACATAAACAGATTCGGACAGAGGCAAAAGATGACCACTGGGCTAGCATATTTAATTGTAATGCTTATAAGGGTCAACTTTATGCAAGTGATGTGGTTTCAGTCCATATGTATCTGGAACGGTCCTTCTGGAGATCCACCAAGCTTCCCCTGCCCCCCATAACTGTGGCTAAGAAAGGCTAAATTACATCTCCAGAAGACATCAGTAGCACGACAGACCATTAAAGATTATTCAGAGGACAGGATTCAAACAGCATTTTCTGGGATCAAAAATGGACTTCCAAACAATTTAGGTACATCAGACCATTAAAGATTATTCAGAAGAGAGTGGACTTGCTATAGGATTCAAACAGCATTTTCTGGGACCAAAAATCGGACTTCCAAACACTTTGGGTTTTGGAACAGGGTCAAGAGTGGCCCACCAAGGTCTGGGGGAGTGAGAAGGGGGTGCAACCCGCATGCTGGCTCCTCGACTCTAGTTTAAATGATCCCCTTAAAGCAGAGAGAGGTGTAAGGTGCTTTGCAGCCAGCACAGAACCATAGAGCAATTCTTACCGATGACGCAAAAGGGTTTGCGGGCAAATTTTAACCGTCCCCTCCAACCCCGGTATCGGCAGCAGCAGCCGGCAGCCCAGATTCTAACAAAATACTCCACGCCAAAGACCACGATGGTGACTATTTCCTGAAAAGGAGACAGGACAATAAATCCGATACAGCAACACAAGAGGGTCGGTCCTTCTGAATCATTTAACTGTGTATTTTTCAGTGCTCCATTACAAAGACCAACATACACCTCTGGACTGGCCCAGCAAGAACATCTCTGTGCATTAAAATTCAGAACTGTCCCCTCCCAACATGTAACTACCTCTCTTTCTTGTTGCTTTACAAAATCCAGAAGGGAGCCTTTTCAATGGATTATTCCTAAGGTTTGCCACTTATATACAGTGGGGTCTCTACTTAAGAACTTAACTTTGTTTTACAAAATCCAGAAGGGAACCTTTTCAATGGATTATCCCTAAGGTTTGCCACTTATATAGTTCAATGGTCATTGTACCTTATGAATTATGCATCTGAGTTTTGAAAAGTCTGTGCAAGGTGAAATCCAGTGGAAGCAAGTGGGGGGGGAACTAAAAGATAAGAGGGACTAGAGCTGGCTATGAAGGTGGCATAAGACATTCTGAGAACTATTAGCATTTCTTTCTTATGGAAGAAAAGTCAGAAACCAAAGTGTGCCTTTACTGTAGGTACTCAGAGAGCCATGATCCTACCAAGATCTCTAAAAATCTAGGAGCTTACCAAAATAATGAATGGGTGGTCCTCCGGTATTCAATAGCACTACATTTTTAAAGGGGACTGGATAGCTCAGTGAGTTAGGTATCTGGCTGCAGTCAAAAGTTGGCAGTTCAATTCCCTACTGTGCTTCCTACAAGTACAGTGGTACCTCGCTAGACGATTGCCTCACTAAACAGTTTATTTGCTAGACGATAAGTTTTTGCGATCCCTATAGCACCTCACAAAACAGTTTTCCCTATGGGCGAATTTTGCTGGATGATGTTTCGGTCCGTGATTCGCAAGAGTGGGGGGGGCATTTTTCGCTAGACTACGATTTTGACAGCTGATCCGCACTTCACAATCCAGTGGAAGCAAGTGGGGGGGGAACTAAAAGATAAGAGGGACTAGAGCTGGCTATGAAGGTGGCATAAGACATTCTGAGAACTATTAGCATTTCTTTCTTATGGAAGAAAAGTCAGAAACCAAAGTGTTCCTTTACTGTAGTACTCAGAGAGCCATGATCCTATCAAGATCTCTAAAATGTAGGAGCTTACCAAAATACATTGTTAAATGAATGGGTGGTCCTCTGGTATTCAATAGCACTACATTTCTAAAGGTGACTGGATAGCTCAGTGAGTTAGGTATCTGGCTGCAGAGTCAAAAGTTGGCAGTTCAATTCCCTACTGTGCTTTCTACAAGTACAGTGGTACCTCGCTAGACGATTGCCTCGCTAAACAGTTTATTTGCTAGACGATCAGTTTTTGCGATCCCTATAGCACTTCACAAAACGGCTTTCCGTATGAGCGATTTTCGCTGGATGATGTTTCGGTCCGTGATTCGCAAGACTTTTGGGGGGGGCATTTTTCACTAGACTACGATTTTGACAGCTGATCCACACTCCGCAAAACAGGTGTTTTTGGGACCGTTTTTTGCAAGACAGTGATTTTGACAGCTGATCCGCACTTCGCAAAACGGTTTCCCTATGGGCGATTTTCGCTGGATGATGATGATTTTTCCCAATTGGAATGCATTACGATGTTTTGATAAGATAGGGATTTTGACAGAACGGATTAACATTGTTTAGCGAGGCACTACTGTAGAGCCAACCTCTGTGGTTTTGGGCAAGCTGCCCAGTCCCAGCGTGCCCCCAGAAGAAGGAACTGGTAAACCATTTCTGAGTATTCTGGAAAACCCTGGAAAGGCTTGCCATAAGTCTGAATTGACTTCTCGGCACACAATAATTACAATAATTACATTCCTAAAGCCTACCACAGCCATCTCAGAATCACAGATTTCTAGAGTTGGGCCAATCTGCTCCTAGCACAGGAAGACCATATCTAAAGCACCTCTCAGAGATGGAGATTTTTAAACTTCTGTTTAAAGACCAGCCACACTTTAAACTTTTGTTTAAAGACCTCCAACCAAAGAGAATCATTCCCCCCTCTCGGTGTAATCAATTCCATCACTGAATGAGCCATCTCAGAATCACAGATTTCTAGAGTTGGGCCAATCTGCTCCTAGCACAGGAAGACCATATCTAAAGCACCTCTCAGAGATGGAGATTTTTAAACTTCTGTTTAAAGACCAGCCACACTTTAAACTTTTGTTTAAAGACCTCCAACCAAAGAGAATCATTCCCCCCTCTCGGTGTAATCAATTCCATCACTGAATGGCTGTTACCATCAGGAGCCTCTTGCTAATGTTTAGCTGGAATCTCCTTTCTTGGAATTTGAATCCACTGCTTTTGGTCCTACCTCTGGGGTGGAAGAAAACAGGCTTATTCTATCTTCTGCGTGACTGATAGCCTTTCAGATATTTGAGGATGGCCATCATGGAGTTTTACTCCTGAGCTTCCCTCTGTGGCCAGACAAGTGAGTTTGTCAGTAGCATCTAGCTTTTTCTGCAGAGCACCATGATCACTCTACTGAAGATTTTTGGTTATATTCCATCACATCAGAAGTGACATCTAGCACCCTAACGGGGTTTGCAAGGTTAGTGGTTTTACCAGTTCCATTCCCCCGGTGACTTTCCATGGCCAAGTGGGGATTCAAGTCTGTTCTCCAGCGTTCTAATGGAATCTATATTTGATAAGATAGTGAATCCACTAGTCTGCCACTCAATCCGCTACACCCTACTGAAGATTCCACTAATCAATTTATCTCCTAGAAGGGGAAAAATCAGGAGATGCGAAGCATTCCAGGAGAAATCTAAAGTGTCTGTGTCAGCAAGAGTTCTCCTGGCTATCTTTCAGCTTCTAACCAGAAGCCAAGCAGTCAGTGGGAAGGACAGTCAAGCTGTCAAAAGCTGTGAAAGTAGTCCGTTCTGCACCAGATCAAACAAGCAGCAAGATGCTAATTGCAGAAGAAAAGAACTATGTTTTTCTTTACTTGTTTTTGAGGACAGTATGGCCAGAACTGTCACCGTGAACATCCAGGTTTTCTTGGGAGACTTCTTTTTACATAACACCCAAACTAGCAATTGTACCATTTTTGCTGCCCTGACCCATGAGGAAAACAGAGCCGTTTAGGCACTGAGAAAAGCCAACACATACTTAACTGGAAGATCTTAATCCTCTGACATCCATTTCTGATGTTTCCAAACTATTAATGAGATGGTTTCAAAATACCAGGAAGGATATGGTAAATGTACATTTTCACATAAAGGATTTTCTGCATGTGGCAAGTTTTCCTTGCTGTAGTTCTCACATACTACATTAGAGTCCAGCCCTAATTCTCTTTGATGAACATTTTCTGAACTGGAAGATCTTAATCCTCTGACATCCATTTCTGATGTTTCCAAACTATTAATGAGATGGTTTCAAAATACCAGGAAGGATATGGTAAATGTACATTTTCACATAAAGGATTTTCTGCATGTGGCAAGTTTTCCTTGCTGTAGTTCTCACATACTACATTAGAGTCCAGCCCTAATTCTCTTTGATGAACATTTTCTGTGAATGATGGTTAAAAGGTTTTCTGCATGTGGCAAGTTTTCCTTGCTTCTCACATACTACACTAGAGTCCACCCCTAATTCTCTTTGATGAACATTTTCTGTGAATGATGGATCATCTTTTCATAGATGACCCATAATGGCCCCCTACACTTTTATGTTAGTTTCCTATTCTTTGCAGCCCCGATTAGCTACATTAAAAAAAACACTATTCTTCCTGTTAACAGTGACTTCATCATACCATTACTTAGATCTATCACTACAATGGCATCACTGAGGGAAGCTAAGCCAGTTTAGAGAGAGGACAGTGTCCGCCCAGCCACACTGAACTAACTTAATTTGCCATCAGAGATAATGCCACAAAGCCAAAATTGGACTGATCTGGTTGCTTAAAAACAAATTAAAAATGAATGACAATTTGGAACCTCCGTTTGGACCCAACTAGAATAGAAAGATGCTTACAATGACAGCTCAGTGGTTTTGGTCTCTGGCTGTGAAGCCAGAAGTAGGGAGTTCAATTCCCCACTGTGCCTCCTAGAGAGGGGCTATGATCCATAGGGTCCCTTTTGGCTCTGCAGTTCTAAGATTCCTGGACTTTATGATCCATAAGGTCCCTTTTGGCTTTGCAGTTCTAAGATGATGATGAACTAGGTATGTTTAGCTTTTTAAAAAAATAGGTATGTTTAGCTTAATGAAAAGAAGACACTAGATATGTTTAGCTTTTTTAAAAAAAATAGGTATGTTTAATGAAGAGAAGAGTGAGGGGAGACAGGATAGGAGTCTTCCAATATCTGAAGGGTAGCCACAGGGAAAAGGGCATTGATTTATTCTCCATTGCACCTGAGGGTAGGACAAAAACCAATGGGTGGAAACCAGTTAGAAGGAGATCCAAACTGGAAGTAACAAGGAATATCCTGACAGTGAGAACCATTAAGCAGTGGAACAGCTCGCCTCCTGATGTCGTGGGTGCCCCACTACTGGAGGTTTTCAAGAAAAGATTGGACAGCCATCTGTCCGGGATGGTATGAGGTCTCCTGCCTTGGACAGAGGGTTGGACAAGAAGACCTCCAAGGTCCTTCCAACCCTATGATGATTCTATGATGATCACAGCTATTGTCTAAAAAACCAAGTGTAAGGGATAGATGGCTTCTCCTTACAACAATCTAAAAGAGAGAGAGAGAGCGAAAAAGCCTGCTACTGAAAGAGTCAAAGGGAGTCTATCCATTGAGTCAGTCGTTTAGATGTCAGGCCATGGAGCCAGAAGTTGAGAGTTCAGTTCCCCACTGTGTCTCTTTGACAGGGGTTAGACTTGGTGATTTATAGAATCCCTTCCAGCTCTACAGTGCTAAGATTCTAAGACCTAAGGGGGGATATTAGCAAAATACTACACACAGAGACATACACTAAAATAAAAAACGAAGCCCTATCCCAACTTCAACGTTACTTTGCACCTCGCTTACCAGAATGTAGAGGGCACCTTCAGAACTCTCTTCATACTCGTCGATGGTTGAAAAGACCGACAGCACCAAGCAGGAGAAAACTAGTAGAAAACTAGATGGCACAAGCAAAAGACAAAACAGAAAAAGAAGAAAAAGGGAATATTAATCAGGCACCTTGTGGGATGTCATCATTGCTGTGGATCAATAACTGATAATGTTCCCAATCTTTTGGCTTTAAAACACACACACACACAGAGGAGACCAAGGCAAGTCTAAGACATGAAGCTGCAAAAGGCCAAATAACGGTTTAGTTTGTTTCACAAGGTGCATAGCCTCACTCCAAGTAATACCTGAGGAAGAGCACACACGTTTTGAAAAGCTACATTCCTGCCAGTCATGGTCCACTTAAAGGCATAGGAGGGCTTTCAAGAAAAAGCTTCAGCTTTATTTTATGTTCAGTTTTAGCCCCACTTTGTCTTTCTATCAGCTGTACTATCCTTGCTTCTTTCAAATCTCTGGGGGTTTTCCCCTCCTGCACAGGTAATCTGGTTTCCTTCAGCCCCTAACGCACCCAGCCATCATCCTTCATTCAAAGGCCAAGTGGAACCTAGTGTCTCATGAGTAGATATACGGAAAGGGAACACTTTCTCAGAAACACCAACCAAGAATGGAAACAGAAGATGGCAGTCATTTCCAGCTCAGCTGCTGTTAAAGAGTCACACAATGTCAAGCCATTTGTTTTTCCAACATATATATATTAGCTAGGATATCATTCTATTAAGTCTGCATGAGTACATGTGAATAAAAGCATTACCCAAATATAAATACTGTATTTTACTGCCCATCAACTTTGTTTCTGACAAACATGGGGCAGAGGAAAACTAACAAAACAGAAGAAAAGATGGAGTTGGTCTTAACACACAGAGGACAGTGTTCTACAAAACAGAATAGATGGCTACCTAAAAATACACGCCTCCCATCCTTTCCTGCTCAAACTACAGCTTCTAATTTTTAGGCACAGTGTGAAATTTCAAGGAAAGTAAAACCTCTTCCTAGTCTCTCCACAACCATTTAGTCTTCTCTCCAGAAACATCACATATTCACTGAAATATGAATGAGAAGGGTTCAAGTAAGGTGTCCAGGTAGATCTGAATTTCAACCATGTGATAGATTAGATTCAGCATTACCCATTTAAGCCTTCTGAAGCTGCACCAAAAGGGGAAGAGGTTGGAAAGATCAGAGATGGAAGAAGTTTCGTTTTTGTTTTGTTTTTTTGGCACTACAATTCCCAGAATCCTCTATCCAGCATTTTAAAAACACTTTGGAATTTATATATATTGAGGACATTTGCCTTCTGATGCCATGAAGTCTCCAGTTGGGGGGGGAGGGAGAGGGGTTGATTGTTTTTATTTTTGATCCTGTGACAGAAACTCCTACCTCACACTTTTCTCATAATGACCGAGCATTCAGGTCAAAAATCACCAGACAGTGAAGAATGGCAGGTCAGACAAGAGCCAAGATAGATTAATTTACTAAGGATGGCAGTAAGAGTCCAAGAAAGCATGCCAACTGATCTGAAATGAACTAAATACCTCACAGTTTGCAAAAAAGCATTAAATCATCTATCCCGCTGACTCGCCATATATTACTGCAAATTGAATTCTGAATATTAAGAAGACTCTGTGTTTGTTCGTGGTTTTGTGCACTAATTACACCTTGACATTGTCTACAACAAAATTTTAACTTCTACAAAGATCTGGCAAGTTAAAGAAACACAAAGTTGGCTATTTTAATTACAATACGCTTTGAACAGTTGGCCAAAACCACCGTGCCATCCAGAAAGACAAACACGGAAAACATTAACGGAATATTTTCAGAAGCAGAGACCCAAACCCTGACACATCTTCTCAATGTCTTCTATCTTGGATTTCATAAATGGCACAAATACAGTGGTACCTCAACTTATGAACTTAATCCGTACTGGGACGGGTTTGTAAGTCGAAACATTCATAAGTCGAGGCAAGATTTCCCATAGGAATGCACTGAAAACCATTTAATCCATTCAGGCTGTTTTTAGTTCGTATGTCGAGGCGCTGTTCTTAGGTAGAGGCATTAGTTCCCATATGAACTAATGCAAAGCCAGTTAATCCGTACTCTACCACTAGGGGGAGAAAATTTTTAAATGTTTTTCTTCTTTTGACCTTAAATGAACTTAGATCCTAAAAAAGGGCAGGAAAGGTGGGGGTTTTTTTCATTCATAAATCAAGGCTCCGTTCGCAGGTCAAAGCAACATTTTGCAAACTGAGCCATTCGTAACTCAAATCGTTCGCAAGTGGAGGCATTCGTAAGTCGAGGTACCACTGTACATTTGTTAAACTTCTTCCCCTACTATGTAGGCATCCTTCAGTCTCGAGAGACTATGGTAACATGCTCTGAATAGAGGTCTTGGAACAGCGTCTAGCGTGGCCATTTCATTCTTCATGTGTTTGTCTACCAAAAACAATAGTGAACAATTTCCAGATGTCTAAGGGGGATAAACATTCTTTCAAATTATTTAAAATATTTTTACCCCACCTTTCTCCTTAAAAGGAACCAAGGCATCATCAATTTGCAGAACCTTGAAGGACTTCATTGGTGCGCACAACCCCAACTTGAAAAAAAAAATTTCATTCTTCATGTGTTTGTCTACCAAAAACAATAGTGAACAATTTCCAGATGTCTAAGGGGGATAAACATTCTTTCAAATTATTTAAAATATTTTTACCCCACCTTTCTCCTTAAAAGGAACCAAGGCATCATCAATTTGCAGAACCTTGAAGGACTTCATTGGTGCGCACAACCCCAACTTGAAAAAAAAACCAAACTTAAAATACTGGGAGGTTTACAGAGAGAGAGAGAAAGAGAGAGAGAGAGAGAGAGAGAAAGTAGCTCGAAGTTTTTGCGGAGTCTCAAAACTTGACACCATTGTATTCCAAACCGCCAGAGTGACAGGACAACCAACACCCATCCAGCCTTTTTCATCCTGGCACAAGCCAACACCTCACTCTTCCTTTTCATCTTTGAAAACAAACTGGTTTAAAAGACTTGTCTCACATCTGCTCAGCTCCTTCCCTGCCACAGCCGTCCCATAAAGCCCAATGGGCAAGGTCTACAATGTGCCAGAAGCACCTGAGTGGCTTGAATCCACCCTTTAAATTTCGTTCAAGGCTTCTGAGAGACACTAGGGTGGACAGATGGTGGGAAGCTTTCAGAGATTGGAAAAGTTACTCTCTTTTTTTTTTAGTATATAGCTGAACTTTATTGCCTTTTAGGCCACTAATGCAACAAGTCTTGGCCCCAGCGATACATATGCTCCATAAAATGCTGTATCAGAGACCTGAATCCTATACATGTTTGCATAACTTTCCGCTCAATTCCAGAATTGGGTGCATAGCAAATCGCAACTAACTGACAAAGTCTCCCAGTCAGGCACCAAACCCAATATGCATCTCTGCCCCTCATCAATTAGCCGTGGCAAATTATGCAAACTTGACATGAACACCAATAGGATTCGGGTCTGAAAACCTTTCGCAATATTCGCAGGTATGTTTCTCATCTAGGAAATTTCTTAGACACGATCACTGCTCAGCTTTCTATGCTCAGCCGTAACACACTTCCTTGCCTTGGGGGAAAAGCAGTCTTCTCCAGCATTACCACTTGAAACCTAAATATTAGTAAAAGGAGTGTATTGAAAGCGAAATAAAGCCATGTCGCTGTTCTTAGGCTTGAAAGCTAACACGTCAGAGTATTTAAATAAGAATTGCTAGATTCTGCTCTTTATCTGTAAAGCTAGACAGTTTACCTCTGGACTTTCTTCTGTTTACACAGGCTTTTCTCAAGAACCTGTGGAGATGTCGGAAGCAAGGCTACATGTACTGGTAAGAAAAGATAGAAATTTGGGTCACCGAATCTTGTCTGACCCAGAAAGCCCCCAACAACAAAAGAAGGAATGTAACAGGGATAAAAGAGGTGTAAAAGGTAAAGGTAAAGGTTCCCCTTGACAATTTTTGTCCAGTCGTGTTCAACTCTAGGGGGCGGTGCTCATCCCCGTTTCCAAGCCATGGAGCCAGTGTTTTTTTGTCCGAAGACAATCTTCCGTGGTCACACGGCCAGTGCGACTTAGACACGGAACGCTGTTACCTTCCCACCAAAGTGGTCCCTATTTATCTACTTGCATTTGCATGCTTTCAAACCGCTAGGTTGGCGGGAGCTGGCACAAGCGACGGGAGCTCACTCCGTCGCGTGGATTCGATCTTACGACTGCTTGGTCTTCTGACCCTGCAGCACAGGCTTCTGCGATTTAGCCCGCAGCGCCACCACATCCCATTAAAAGAGGTGAGGAGGATGCAAATGAAAAGACGGGACACACATGCCGGGAAACAAATAAGCAGAAAAAGGATGGGTTGACGGAGGCTGTGCAGGGTTTGGGTCCTTCGTTGACCCTGCCAGATGAAAATGGAAAGCCATTTCCATGCTGGAAACCTCCAGGAGCAGTCATCCCCCTCTAAAGCAAGGGGAAAGGGTCTTGCTATGGAGAAGGGTTTATGGTAAAGGTAAAGGTAAAGATTCCCATTGACAATTTGTCCAGTTGTGTCCTACTCTAAACAGGGACATGGTGGCGCTGTGGGCTAAACCGCAGAAACCTGTGCTGCAGGGTCAGAAGACGAGCAGTCATAAGATCGAATCCATGCAACAGAGTGAGCTCCCGCTTTGTCCCAGCTCCTCGCCAACCTAGCAGTTCGAAAGCATGCATCGGTGGGAAGGTAAAACAGTGCTCCCTAGTCACGCTGGCCATGTGGCAACGGACAAGTGCTAGCTCTACGGCTTGAAAAACAGGATGGGCACCACCCCCTAGAGCTGGACACAACTGGACTTTACGTCCTACTCTAGGGGCGATGCTCATCTCCATTTCCAACCCATAGAGCTAGCATTTTGTCTGAAGACAATCTTCTGTGGTCACGTGGCCAGCATGACTAGAGACGGAATGCCGTGACCTTCCCACCAAGGTGGTCCCTATTTATCTACTCACATTTTGCATGCTTTCGAACCGCTAGGTTAGCGGGAGCTGGAACA